CCACTAACACATCTCCCATATTGCACCTTATTTGCCCCTCAACATTTTCCATAAGCATTGTTTTCAATTTCTCTTTGGATGGCTGTAAAACGCAAGAGAAATAAAAAACAAAGGTTATGCAAAATTTGGGGGAGCAAATAAGGTGCATTATGGGAAATGTGCAAGTGGCGTATGGTTAGCATTAGGTAACATCGGCTGAAGTCAGATTGTTTCTTTCAGTAAAATTACAACTCAAGTCCAACTTTACTGTGTAATATAAAATAAGATAGAAAAAACCACTGTAATGCTTTGATCCCGGGTCATTTGCTTCATAGCCTACTTCCATATCCACTACACCATCGAGGACCAGCCGCCAAAGCCAGTAATATATATGTACTTATGCCGTATCCCATTACAATATTTGAAAGCTAACTGTTTTCAGTTCAGTGCTTAGCCCTAATCGCTGCAGATCAGGGGTTAACACTCTACTATGTTCTCTCCATAACTGGCGCTCTGTAGTTTTGGTTTTTTCAGCTACTCTACATTCCAGTCTCGTTACGTTATGAGAACAATGAGTTGTGTAAAATTTATAAGGTGTCCAATCTGGCTACACTCGATGTTATCTAATGCTAATCTTGGCGTATAGAGTAATTTAAAAGGCTAATTAGTAAACAAGATTATTTGTATGTAATGAAAAGGTTTCCTTTATCTCGCCTTTAGCTGTGAAATGTCCAAAGCTGAACTCGATCTCTCTCAGCCAAGTGACTCCCCCCGAGTGCGTTACAACGGAGTTAAGATTCAATTCACGCTGTCAATTCCAGTGTCCTAGCGGCTATTTATTCCAAGGAACTCCAGACAGGACTGTATTAAGGTTCTGTCAGACGGACGGCACTTGGACTGGAGAGCACAAGCCATGTATCGGTGAGGAGTTTTATTATCCTTGCACTTATTTAAGAGGCCACTATTCTGAAAATCACAAACAACTGCGAGTTTTTGTTTCGTTTTCATTTTCGTCTTTAAACAAACATACCTGAATCAGTAAATTATTCATTTAATGATTTTTGGCATAGAACAAACCCGTTTTTAATATTAGCCCGTTATTGTATACTCAGTGAATTGATTTAAATCAGCTGCCAAATTTCTGGGATATCGGAAGTAATATATATACAAAAAGCTTCTGAATGCTTAATTCAATGGTCAGAGAGTTACTGCGCAAGGCAAAACCGAGTTAACTACAACATAAAATCGAATTTTTTTTACATCCACTTCATAACTCTAGAGCTCTGTATTAAAAAGCGACGTAATCGAAAAATATATCTATAAAATTACCTTGCAAAGCGCATGACTGGAATATTCACTGGGGGATATATGATTCATTAACGCATCAAAAATGGCACGATAGACTCTGTAGCACACTTAAATCACCCAATCAATGTGCAGAATCGATTGAATAGTTAAGAGTGAGTAATATCGAGCGAGGGGTGGCACATGATGACAAATCAAAAATTTTTTGTCCAGAGATACCTTTTGGTAGCCCTCGGAACGTGGCATCATTTTTTTTCTTGAACTACTTTTTTAGTCCCGAAAAAAATTGGGAAAACCTGTTTCGGCCCCACGCGTCTCAAAACACCGGAAAGAGACAAGTTTGACATCTTCTCCTAAACTTCGTTTTATTTAAATCGCATCATGCGAATACCCTATTCTGAGCTCAGGAAATTGATTTTAAAAAGTTTTAAAGGTATTTTAGTCCATTTGTAATCCAATGGATTAATTTTCAAGGCGATGGAAATCGACCAAAAATCACTAAAACTCCCTTGCCCAAAATTCTTAATTTGGTGTATTTTTCAAGAAATTATTTCTTTGCCCGGTAAAACACCGAATCACTTGCAAACTTAGAATTCCTGTAAAAGGAAACGTTGCCTAAAACCAGATACAAAGATTTCTCCCGGGCTCGTTGTTAGAGCTGAGTGCTAACACTCTCAAAATCCAAATAATCACAACTTTTACATGTTTTAATCTGTAAACAACTCCAAACAATATGTTTATATCACGAACAAATACCTAAAAATCAGGACATTTCTTCTTGTGAAAGGTTTGAACCAAGGATTCATTTCAAAAGCAGGTTGAGTTTGATCGTCCAGGTGAACGTGGTCCTGAATAGGACTGTTGTTGTTGACAGTGACTGACGTTTCGACAACCTGTGCGGTAGTCATCTTCAGAGTCAGTTGATGGTATTATACTCTGGTTATTGATCTGATTGGCCAATTACGTCGCGATGTTATTGGTCGTCTGTCAGTTAAGCCGTGATGTTATTGGCTAAAAAGACTCGTAATCAGTAACTGGTGCATTTCGATCCGTCTATTGTCACACTTAAACAGTCGTCTATTGTTAGTCAAATTGTCAGTTCTCTAGTAGTTCTCTAGTAGTTAGTTTTGCCTGATCTCGTCAATAAGTCGTTTGTACCGGGCTGGTAACTGTTGGCTACGATTCAGTGACGTTTGTTCTAAGTTAGTAAACCAGCTTTCTAAAGTAAGACGTTGATAGTAGTCTGTAGAATACGTTGTTTATTTCAGTACAACGGCAAACACTACAATCAGTTACACGGTACAGCTATGGGCTCTCCAGTTTCTGTTGTTGTAGCAAAAATTATCGTGCAAAAGATCGAGGAACAAGCGCTAGTTACCTACACGCGAACTGTACCTCTTTGGTTACGTGACGTTGACGACACATTCACCGCCGTACACAAAGACGGAATCGACGATTTTCACGAACACCTTAACAGACAGAACGCAGACATACAGTTCACCAAGGAGATCGAAGAAAATGGTAAGTTACCTTTTCTAGACTGCTTGGTCACTCGCGACAGCAACAGACTCAAAACAACTATTTACAGAAAACCGATACATACCGACCGATTACTAGACCAGCGCACGAGACGAGCGCAACTAGTTTGCTACTCACCTGACAGCCTACAAGACGAGACTGATTATCTTAACAACGTTTTAAGTAAGAACAATTACAACACGGAGTTTGTTAAACGGAACACTCACAGTAACACTGATTCCAACACTCAGACCAACTCTGGCCCTGTTACGACAGCGACTCAGAGGCACCTCTGAAACTATTGCACGTATATCACAATATACGTGTTGCACACAAACCGATAACCACTTTACGGCGACTGCTTACTAATGTCAAGGACAAAGACAAACCGGAGGACAGACAGGGAGCAGTATACATACATTGGTGAAACAACTGTAGGTGACATCAACTGTGACATGATGGCAGTTACCCCTGCTAATGAAACTAGACACCTAATTGAACTGTGTGAATTGTTTCAATATACTCAATTGATCAAGGAGCCTACACGTGTCATTTCAAGTACTAAATCACTTATCGACTTATTTCTTACCAATGAGCCGGTCAAATTTGCTACATCATGTGTATCTCCTATTGGTTGCAGCGATCATAGTTTGATCTATGTCTCTCGCAAATTAACATGCCCTAGGTCGATCCCGCGAATCATTGAATCGAGACAATATAAAAATTTTGTGAATGATGACTTTGTGAATGACAAGGCGCTGGTTCCGTGGGACATAATGGAGCAGATCGATAACCCTATTGGCGCATGGGAGGTGTGGAAACAATCATTTCTAGCAGTAGCCAACCTTCATGCACCTGTTAAGAAAAGGAGAGTTAGAAACTCTAATGCTCCCTGGCTCACCCTTGAGATCAAACGATTGATGTGGGAAAGAGACAGAATAAAGCGTATCGCAATTGTCACTAGTGATCAGTTGAAATGGGCAGAGTACAGGAGACTTAGAAATCGTGTTAACCATTCTATTAAGGCCTCCAAAAATAATTACTATCATTCGTTCTTTGAGGATAACGTTTGGAAAGCTAAAGCGACTTGGAATGGAATTAATACATTATTATCGGTAAAGAAAAACTTTGCTCCGGTGTCAAAATTGATTATTGGTGACAAGGTGATAACTGACCCTCATGAGCTAAGCAACGCTTTTAACAGGCATTTTGTCGATATTGGTCCTAACTTAGCGGCGAACATAAATCCCCCTCGAGTCAGTTTTCGTGATTTTGTAGAACCGTGTGATAGCACCTTCGAGCTCGAATTACTGACTATTGATGGACTGCGCAAACTTGTGAATGATATTCCTGTGGGTAAGGCTGATGGCCTCGACGGTATTCCAACTTGCCTCTTAAAGCTTTCATTTCCATCCATTGCGTCTTCCCTTCCACATATTTTTAATTTAGTTATTTCTAAGGGAATTATTCCCAAAGACTGGAAGAGTGCTAGAATAACTCCAATTTTCAAAAGTGACTCGAAAGTTGACCCAGCCAATTAAAGGCCAATTTCTGTACTTTCTGTAATTGCTAAACTCTTTGAAAAAGCCATTTTTAATCAGGTTTATTCATATTTCAATGATAATAAGTTACTTTCGAAATATCAGTCTGGCTTTAGACCTATGCACTCGACCCTTACAGCTCTTATTGATATCACTGACAACTGGTATCTCAATATCGACGATGGTTTGACAAACGCCATTCTGTTTATTGACTTGAAAAAGGCTTTTGATGCTATTGACCATGAGATCCTTCTGTCAAAATTGGAGCGGTATGGGTTTAAAGGTGTGAGTCTCAATCTTTTCCGAGACTACCTCTCAGATAGAACTCAGGTTACAGTTATAAACAACATATTTTCCGAAACTATTTTCATAAGTTGTGGGGTGCCTCAAGGTTCAATCCTCGGCCCCCTACTGTAACCTCCTACCGGATGTGAGAATGTACGCCGATGACACTAATCTCACGTTTGCCTCCAAAGACCCTAATGAGTTGTTTTCATCCCTGACTCATGATTTGGGCAATCTGAAGCAATGGCTCGATTCTAACCGTCTAAGTCTTAATGTCCTCAAGACTAAATGTCTGTTTACAGGCACGAGGCAAAAATCTCTTTGCTCCTCAGCGATCCACTTATATCCCTCGACGGGCATTCAGTTGAAAGAGTCAAAAGTTACAAATGCCTAGGCGTTCAGGTTGATGAAACACTCTCATGGGAGGCTCACATCTCCGAAGTCAACGGTAAAGTTGCAAAAGTACTAGCTGCCCTGAGGAGGCTAAGACCAATATGTCCCCAGAGTACCCTTGTCACTATTTACAAGTCATTGATTCTTCTGCATCTCGATTATTGCAGCGCTTTCTGGGGCTGTATCGGTAATGGTCTCAGCCAAAAACTAGAGAAGCTTCAAAACAGGGCTGCACGCATAATTACAGGGTCTAGCTGGGATGCCAGCTCTGCCCCAATTCTTCATGCCCTTAAATGGGATAGCCTCGCTGACAGACGTGCCACGCAACTGAAATCTTTAATGTTTAAAACTGTAAATAACCTTGTACCCGAATACCTGTCTGATAAATTCGCCAGCATTAATACCATTCACAGGCATAATCTTCGAGGTGCGCAACATAACCTGTTTATTCCGCGACAGAACACTGAGGCCCTAAAGAAAAGTTTTCGTTATAGGGGCGCAGTAACATGGAACAGCCTGTCAGCCGAGGCTAAGCAGGCCACTACTTTAAATTGTTTTTATTCCGCTATTGTACATTAAGGTTTTCTTAGTAAGCATTTATTATAGGACTTTTTCAATAATGTTTGTTATTTTTAAGTCTTAGTTTAATGTGCACGGCTCTTTAGAAGACCACTTTTTAGTGATAAGAATTCCGTGGTTAAATAAAGTTATTACTTACTTAATTACTTACTTACTTACTTACTTACTTACCAGCGCCGTACAAACGACTTATTGACGAGATCAAGCAAAACTAACTACGAGAAAACTACTAGAGAACTGACAATTTGACTAACAATAGACGACTGTTACGTAACTGTGAAAATAGACGTATCGAAATGCACCAATTACTGATTACGAGTCTTCATAGCCAATAACATCACGGCTTAACTGACAGACGACCAATAACATCGCGACGTAATTGACCAATCAGATCAATAACCAGAGTATAATACCATCAACTGACGTGATACAACTCACTTTGACTTTGAAGATGACTACCGCACAGGTTGTCGAGACGTCAGTCACTGTCAACAACAACAGTCCTATTCAGGACCACGTGCGTTCACCCGGACGATCAAACTCAACCTACTTTTGACATTTCTTCTTGTTTTCCCCGTCATCATGACGGGGAAAATTGAAAGACATTGAAAGTTTCAATGAAAACTACATGCCATTAATATTATCTTGCTTCTCTTTTAGTGTTAGCCTAAATGATAGTGATATGGCACCAAAATCAGGACCATCGTTAACGGCAATTTCCTGCTTATGCACTGAGAAGTAAAATACCTACGCAGAATCAGAACTCCTTTGTTAGATATAAAAGTTGACTGAAAGGTTTAGAGTCAATTTACACGTTTCGAGAAAGTTTTTTAAAAGTCCCGTTCAAAGCTGAAGAGAAGGGGATAATTATGAATTAAACTGTTAACCGGGAAAATTTATTTCACGATCGTACGTGAATTTATTTCATCTGTTTGGAGGTTGTTTGTTGTTTGTTGTTGTTTGTTCTAGCGCACATATCAGAACAAACCGCACAGTCGTCCTACATAACATCAACATTTTTCTTGAGCAGTTGGAAGGTATACATTGTAAGACTGAAATTAAGCCACCTTTTTGCGACATGATTCCTGGAAGTTTCAAGTTTTATGCTACTACCGTAAGAAATTTCTGTAATTTGATTGGCTTAGAGCAGTGGTATTTCAGCTTAATTTGAAATACCTACATGTGAAAATTACAAAACCTTTGCTGGTAGTAGTATAAACAAATAATAGCATGATTTGTGCATGATATTTGGCATAAATACCACTGACTCGTGATATTTCAAAATTGTCTCAAATTTCACGCGCCTAACAGCTCGTGAAATTACGTATAACAATTTCGAAATATCACTCGTGGTATTTATGCTATCACTACAAATCATGCTATTACCTATACCGATAAACGTCCTGTAGCTGTGTCACGGTAACTGGATGTTTTTTATTGATTTTTTTGCCTGGTTAGAAACTAAAGTTGGGGACATTTACGTGTCCTACAAGCGATTATGAACAACCAGTTTTTGTCCTGGAATTGTCAGTATGAAAAATATAGTGAAAAGACATTTTGGGTGAGACTTTTTTTTTTGGAAGGGGTGGGAGAAGAAGGGAGGCGGGGAGGGAATAGGGCAACTCGTGAAAAAGCGCGCTAACTTTAAAAAGAATTCTAAGCAAGTGACAATTCGGGGATTCACATAAGAATTGGTCTCAAATACCTTGTAAACCGGCACTTTTAACCAGCTGTAACGCCACGATTCCCAGTTAAAACACGGCGTTAAGAGAACAACACATGTTTTAATCTGCTACTCAACTAGTCTCACTGACAATCACTTCTTCGCGCATGGTTATTACGTCATGTCACGTGACTTACTTAGAGGGGAAACCGCGGGGTTTGCCTCGCGCCACACAGCCCATTTCCAAGCTCTAAACAGAGCAAAGTTTACTTGAAGGTATGTGTCACGTAATTTTATGGCGTTGTTTACGCCACGTGTGGCCCTAACCTTTTCTTCTTATTATTATTATTTTTTCTATGGCGTTCAAAAAAATATTTTTAAAAAAATATCACCACGTTTGTCAGTCCATCATAAGGTTTCAGTCGACGAAATATCAGGAATTTTGATTTTTCATCATGTGCCACGATATTTCGAGTAGGTTCGACAGTTAGTGGACATTCCCTCTGAATAACCTTACAACGTTGTTGTTTTTGTAGACAGTGAACCACCCAAAATAATGTGCCCCCAAAACATAAGAACGAATAACAGCCTCCACCAAAGTTATGCAGTTGTCACGTGGGTAGAGCCGACATACAGCGATAATTCGGTCGGCGTTGATCCGCTGGCCGAAGTGATTGTAACTAGCAACTTTAAGTCAGGACAGAAATTCCTCATTGGCCAGCACTCCGTACAATATACAGTGAGAGATAAAGAAGGATTGACAGCTAAATGCTCCTTTACAGTGGACGTGTTAGGTGAGCCTTTTAAAACTTAATGTGCTGTATCACTGCAGAATTTTATGGTAATACATATTTTCAATATCATGTTATGGCTCCAAAAAAGTAATATTTATACGTAATACGTTATGGCTCTGTATTAAAAATGAGCGTTAACCTTAAATTACAATCTATTTTAGCTTTAGGTTCAGTTTCCATCTGCAACCAACAATGGCTTTGTAAGGACTGATAATGGAAATACCCTTTTATCAGCTCTTCAACGTCCATCAAATTCGCAGCTTTCTTCGCGGTCTTTTTTCTGCCTCATTATTTCTTGGCCACATTGCCCCAAAAACTAAAATAAAACTTTGCCAAAGAAGAACAGTCGGCACCACAAAAATTACAAAACATTTAGAAATCACTCTTCTCGATCTTGCAACTTCCCCGCAAGCCCAGCCTATGGTATGTCTTTTAACTAGTGAGATACGCCAGAATTTGCCTGTTGGATTTTGTAGATATTCGCGGACTTCTCAGCCAACAAGGCTTCAAAAACCTTTCACTTTTACCACTAAAACGTCATGGTGTTATCCAAGGTTGAATACCATCGTAGCAATTTTTTTTTTCCTTCAGAACTTGTATCCGCACTTTTGGTTGGGTGCAAGTGTATGTGCGTTTAATTTTATTATGATATGTATACGTTCTTTATAATTATTTATTATTTAAATAACATGTACGTTTAGTTTGTTATTTAACGTATCTCATTTCCTTAACGTTGTTTCTTTGCTGCTATACCTTGTCTTTGAGAGTGCTTGCATTGCGAGTGCACCGTAATTTTTATACCGCGCAAACTCGAACCTTTCCAAAGTAGAACCGGTTCCCCTCGGACAAAAAAAAAACCGGAAGTCCTTTCTAACGCGAGTGAAAAGAAAACAAGAAATAAAATAAATAATAAACTTACTTCTGTTGACTTTCACGCCGTTCCTCCCTGGTTTTCTTTAATGAAAAATATCTATGATAAAAAATGACATTTCATAAAATTAATTTACACATATAATATACACCGTAATTTTTAGGGAGTTATTATAACTCCAAAAATGGAGTAAAAATTTTAGGTACAGGATAACCCCTTTTTTGGGGTTATTTTAACTCCTAATTTAACTCCGAATTTGGGTTCATTTTTACTCCTGAAAAAGAGTTCTTTTTACTCCCAGTCTTGGAGTTAAAATTACTCCGAAATGGGGTTACTTGTACTCCTTACAGGGGTTGTTTTTACTCTTTTTGGAGTTAATTTAACTCTGAAAGTGGAGTAAAAATTTAGGTACAGGATAACTCCTTTTTGGGGTTATTTTAACTCCTCAATATCTGGGGTCACTTTTACTCCTGAAAAAGAGTTCCTTAAACTCCTTTTTGGAGTTAAAATAACTCCACGAAAAATAACTCCACTGTAAGGAGTTAAATTAGCCCCACTAGAGGAGTTATTATAACTCCCTGAAAATTACAGTGTATAGTTTTCACTAAGTCTCTAATTGCTCCCAATACAACAAAAACAATCCAAATCAGTATTTTATTTCATCTGAAAAATACTGTACAGTGAAACATGCACGTGTCACTCATTATTATGTCAGGTTAGTGACACAGAGGAGAGGCACAGATAAGAACCAGAATTCTTCAGGCTAAGATTTTGAAAGAACCAGATGAAGTAGAAATGTTAAAACAGATCGCTATGGAGTTCTTAAAGTCCACTAATCATTCTAATGGCAAAAAAAGTTTATATTGGCTTAAATTGCAGTCATTTAGACATAACAAGATGCATATTTTGTACAAACATTTAAAACCACCAACATTCTTCCAAGAAGTCTTTTTTCCTTAAGAAAATAAGAACCTCGAATGTTTGAGAACCTAAACAGCTTAATTTCCAAGAAACAGGAAATTTTTTAAGAGCCTTTTGAGGTTAACTTCGAAAAGCACCTATTACTTAGTCCTTACTGTATACTACTAAATGTAAGAGCGGTGGGGGGGGGGAGGGGGAGGAAGAGTTAGGGTTAGGGTTAAGGTTAAGGTTGGGGTTAGGGTTAGGGTTAGGTTAGGGTAAGGACTAGGGATAAGTTAGGGTTAGAAATCAGATTAGGTCGAGGTTGGGGGTTAGGGTTAGGAATAGGTTAGGGTTAGGTTGGAGGGTTGATTTCACGGTCATAAGCAGTCTTAACTGATTTCAATGACCATTGAAATCAGTTGAGACTCATGTGTTAACCAGTTAACCTCCAACCTAACCCTAACCTATTCCTAACCCTAACCCCTTGATCCACTGAGTTAAACGTTCGCCTTGTCAGGAAAAGGGTGTTACGTCAAGCTGGTTAGGGTGGATAGCTAAAGTTGAGCCAAGGCTTAGGGTTAAATAAGGATAAAGGTTACAAACAAGAAGTACGGTTTGTTGAGGGTTAACGTTTGAGGGACTTCTGGGCAGGATACCAAATAACGTTGCGTTACATATCAATTACATCGTCGTACTGAGCGTAGGATTGAATTTCAAAAGACGGGTCAGGAGGTGAGAAATACAGAGATGTAATTTCAATACAGGCGAT